GGGATCTTCTAAAGAGTGTAACTGAAGTGAGGAGTTTCTTGGGACTTGCAGGCTACTATCGTAGATTTATGAAATGTTTTTCAATGATAGCAGCCTCGATGACTAAATTACTTCATAAAGGAGTACCATTCATTTGGGGTAAAAAAATCAAAGCAATTGCAAACAGTTGAAGACTCTTTTAACCCAAGCCCTAGTTCTAACTCAATCAGAGTTGGGAAATAATTCACAATTTATAGCGACGCTTCACTAAACGACCTATGATGTGTGTTAATGCAAGAGGGAAAGGAGGTCGCCTATGCTTCTTGTCAGCTTAAGCCTCACAAATGGAATTATCCTACTTACGATCTAGAACTTACAACAGTAGTATTCGAGCTCAAGATTTGGAGACACTACCTATATGGGGATAAATGTTATATTTTCACAAATCACAAAAGCTTGAAGTATCTGCACACCCAGAAAGAATTGAATATGAGGTAACAAAGATGGGTTGAGTTACTAAAGGACTATGATTGCATAATCGATTATAACCAGGGAAAAGCCAATGTGGTAGCAAATGCGCTGAGCCGAAATTCAATATTAGATTTAAAAGCACTTTTAGCACACCTGAGCATTTCTAGTGATGGTGGATTATAGGCCGAGCTCCGAGTAGAATCTGATATAGTAAGTGAGATCAAGAGACTACAATATTTAGATAATAGTATAAGATTTCGTGTGGAGTGAGTTCTTCTAAGTGAGATCTCAAGGTTTGGGTTGCGTTGATAAGATGTATTATATTTTAAGGGACATCTTTGTGTCCCGAAAGTTGATCAGTTACGTGAAAAGATCCTTCATTAAGCCTATTGCAGTCCACTTTCAGTTTATCCAGGAAGTAATAAGATGTGTAAGGAACTTTGACCATTGTATTATTGGCTGGGGATGAAGATAGATGTTTTTTAATTTATAGCAAAATGTCTGGTGTGTCACCAAGTTAAGGTGGAACATCAAGTTCCCTCAGGTTTATCGCAGTCGATTCAGATACCGCAACGAAAGTGGGACAAAGTGACTATGGATTTCATTATCGATTTACCGATGATGAGACGCAAGCACGATACAATATGGTTAATAGTAGATCATTTGACCAATTTCTTGCCAGTTAGAATGGATTTCACTTTGGAAAGATTGACACAACTCTCCATCAGGGAGATAATAAGATTAGATGGATTTTTTACCTTAATTATTTCAGACAGAGACCCCATATTTACTTCTCGATTTTGGGAAGCTTTATATGAATCTTTAGGCACCAGTCTCCATTTCAATACTACGTTTTACCCTCAGACAGACAATCAATGAGAGCAAATTATTCATGTTCTTAAAGACATGCTCAGGTGTGTGGTTATGGACTTTGAGGGTAGTTGGGAGGATTATCTATCTTTGGTGGAGTTTGCGTATAATAACAGTTACCAGTCGCGCATTCAAATGGCTCCATACGAAGCTCTATATGGGCGAAAGTGTAGAACTCCCCTCTGTTGGACTAAACTTAGTGAAGTAAAAATAATGGGACCATATCTAATCCGAGAAACCGAAGTAAAAGTTAGGATAATTCAAAGTAGACTGAAGGAGGCATCGGATAGAAAAAAAGTTATATGTAGATTTGAAGCGCAAAGAAATCGAGTTTGCTATGGGCAACAAAGTATTCCTTAAGGTGTCTCCATAGAAGAAAGTACTTCGGGTTGGGCGAACAGGAAAATTGACTCTGCGTTTTATCGGTCCTTACGAGGTGATTAAGATAGTTGGACCTGTAGCCTATCGTTTAGCCCTTCCTCCAGAGCTGGAACACATCCATAATGTATTCCATGTATCCATGTTATGAAGGTATTGTTCAGACCCGTCACATGTTTTAACCTTTGAGCAGGTTGAGTTAAGCCCGAACATGACCTATGAAGTGAAGCTGATCAGAATCCTAACCAAGGAGGTGAAAGAATTAAGGAACAAGAATATTTCTCTAGTAAAGGTTCTTTGGAGAAACCATGGAGTCAAGGAAGTCACATGGGAAACCGAGGAAGACATGCAGCTCCAGTATCTGTATTTGTTTTACCCAGGTAAAAATTTTGAAGAGGAAATTTCTTATTAGGAGGGGAGAGTTGTAATGCCTCGAAACCCAGGTTAATAGTTTGAGTCAACCCGATACCCATTTTAGAGCCCAAAATAATTATTAAAAATATCTTAGGCCAAGGCTAAGTGGATTTGGGTTGTGTTGGGCCCAAAAGGCTTATGTAAGGTGATGATATTCACATGGGCTTGAAAGTATAGGGACCTAAAATATAGTTTACCCATTTTATTTTAGCTGAAAATCTTCCCCCTTGTTTTTATATTTTTCACGCGAATCAAAGCCCCAACAATCTTACCAAATACTCTTCTCATTCTTCCTTCTAGCATTTTCTATTTCTCTTCCTGTTCCATCTCAAATTCAAGTTTTTCCAAGCATTTCATTTTCCATTTGATTAAACCAAGGTAAGAGCAAGAATTCTCATCCTACAAGCTTTAAATTAAGCCCCATTTTATAATATTTTATCATGGTTTCCAAAAATTGGTTTTTGGAAAGTGTAGTGAAATATGATCCAATATGGGTTGGCTAGATTTTAGGGTTAAGAAATGTTCTAAATATCATCTTCAATACATAGACAACTTAGAAATTTCCTTTTTCTTACTCTTGTTTAGAAAAAAAAGGTGGTGGAAGCTCAAATACAAAAAGGAAGGAAAAACATATCAAGAGTGATTAAGGATTAGCATTTAGCCAAGGATAAAAGGTATCCACACCTACAATTTCTCCATACTCTTAGTGGGTCATTTTAATGTATTGAATAACATGAAGGTAAAAAATAAGCTTATTTAGCATATGCATGGTATATTATATGTTTTGAAAGTTTGAGCATGCCTAAAGCCTTATTTATGATCATTTTTAATCACATAAGACTTTAAAGAATGTTTGGGGACCTCACTAAGGTCTTTGGGAGTGAAATATAGCATTTTCGTACGTGAATTGTGTATCAAGTAGGTTGAGTATCGATACTATATGGTTAGTATCAATACTTGTTCTTCATATATAGGTAAAAATTTGTTTTCTAGGTAGGAGTATCGATACTCTTTCAAGAGTATCGAAACTTTGGGTCATAGTTTTAAAAATCCCATGAAGTATCGAAACTGGGCATCACATAATGCTTAAAAATATCGATACTTACATAAAGTATCGAAACTTTTGCATGAGTATCAATACTCTTGGGCTAGTATCGATACTTTCAGTCTATTTTGGGGAAAAAGGTCAGTTTTTAAGAAAACTAGAGTCGAGGTACCCCAACACTTCATTATATCATCAAATAAGATTACAAGTGGAACAATAATAAAGATTAATTCGAATGTAGAAACAAGATAAATAGGGACAACTGAAACTAGCCTTGCTTAATGCTCGAGAAACGATTCAGAAACCCAAGTTCCTTTAGTTCAGGGTGTCTAAGTATAGAATCAGTCCAGATATCCTTAGGTCGCAAGGCCCTTAAAAAGACTAGCTAGGGCGCAAGGTCCGACACTCGAAAGGGGTGGGCTAGTCGGGGGTGTGGTGTCTGGTGCAGAGATTCTGGGAGCTACATCCTCGGTAGACTAGAGGGGTGCATGAGCTCCGAGATGCAGAGATCCCTCAGCCACACCATGATGTCTACCATAGCGTAGAGAGTGAGTATCACAAGGATACTAATGATTTGATTATTGTTTGGATAGATTTATTTTATCTCATATTCAGTTATTAAAGCATGTTCTAAATGTACCCTTGTTAGTATGTTTTAGTTGTTAGTGTGGCACTGGGCTAGTTAGCTCAACATTTGGAATTTGTTTCCTTACGCAGATTAGGTGAAGATCAGTAGAGGAGCCTTTTTACTTGAAGAAATCTAGACCAAACAACATAGCAGAGTACGTCTTAAATTTCTAGAGGGCATGTATATTCAAAGTTTCTATTTTGTAAATTTGAGTCGTAAATTGTTTTAAATACACTGTCGTTATATTTTGATTTATTTTGTAATTGTGGTTAGGGATGGGCATGAGTCGGGTTTTTGGTCCACCCGACTCGACTCCAGAACAATGAATCCTCCACCCGAGATCCGACCCAACCCGCATGAAACAAGATTTCACCCACCCTGAACCCAACCCGATATATAACTTAAAAACCCGACCCAACCCAACCCGAAATAATAAAAAAATTTATTTTTATTCAATAAAAATAATGACTTAATTGAAAAAATAATATATAGAGGGGTATTATTGTAGCTATACCTAAATATATAAGGTAAAATTATATTTTTTTCGGGACGGGTCGGGTATTTTTCACCCTAAACACGACCCGAACTTCACATTTAAAAAATCCGACCCGATTGGGTCAGGTCAGAACCCATCGGGTTCGGGTCTCATACCCATCCCTAATTGTGGCAACTCCCGACTGTAAACTATTTTTACATGGATTTTATTATCTATTTTATTGCAAGTATTTACACATGAAGCTTTAATTTCAAGTATGATAAAGGAAATTTGTTGGTTAGTCACTTCAATGGTTCTGTGTGACACTCTCATTGGTCAACTGTGTGTCGTACTGGTATAAGGTGTTACAGACTTGGATTGCACTATGGCTGGCACCGGAAGCCTTGATAGTATCTCAAGCACAAGCGCTTGAGGAAGACGATCCATTTGGCTAGTTTTCTGTATTTGTGTTCTCTACTTTCTTCGTGTGGAAAGATTTAATATAAGATATGGTTGTATTATTTGAGACGGCTTTGCGATGGAATCGAAATTGAAATTCCATAGAATATTATATTTTTTACAATGATCAATTCGGTCGTAACAACAAACAACAAAAACTAGAGGTTAAGTACATAGTTTTACACACGGCACGAATTCAATATAGAAAATGAAAACATTGGTTGTATCCAACTTTTTAACTACTTTTGCCTAGCATAAAATCCTGCGTCAGTACTTGGCTGTTACGTATTGACAAATGCATCGATCCAACTGAGGCATGCAGCATGAAGGACAACCCTGAAACACCTCGGAATCCCTTCAAATGCAAGTTGAAGATCCTGGAATGTCATGCAATGGGGATCATAGACAACGACTGCTTTACTTTTGTACTCTAATAAGATCCCTCCACTCCTCAACAGGCATAGGACTCGCATGCACTTTTTAGGCGAGTAATACATGGAACTATTCAATGATTCCCTCACATCATTCGGCTGCAATATTCTTGGTACGTAAGCTCCAATGCTAAATTCTTTGACCCAAGACTCCCTCACATCATACTCCTTCATAACCCAAATCTCCAATTCTCTATCATCGTCATTAAAAGAAACCGCCGACAGGCAACCTCGTAGAACCACAATTTCATGAAATTGCCTGTCCGAACTGATGCAATCAGGCCCAGGGACCTTCTGGAACTGTTCATTAGCCAAGTCAAAGGACATTATACGATTAGTAGCAATGTTTTTATCGGGATAAGAAATCCAATGCAGTTTCCCATTGACCAAAACCTGAGAATTTTGCCACATAAAATGGAATGGAAAGCTTCCCAAATTTCTCCATGAGGGGCTACCAACACTCAAAATATGAACCACAGATTCAATTGAAGAAGAGGATGCTGCAATCAGAGGAGCTCTACGAGTTATTCCTTTATATAAAACCTCAACAACCTTATACTTCTTTGTGGTAGAATCGAGACCAAATCCCAACACCCCCACATGATGACTAGGGTGCTTTGCTATTTGCTTCGGCAACTCTATATAGTCCCTGGTGAAAGGATTATAAATACAGATCAGTCCAAAGCTTCCGTGAGTGCCACGCAAGCATAGCAATCCATTACATGAACTCAGCAAATGGAAAGTTGGCAATGGTGGCATGGTGAGCTTCTTTGTTATGATCATCACGTCCCCATGGTTTGAGAAATCTCCAAAATAAAGCTGGTTTTGGGCGGGTTGATCCCTGATTTGTAAAATGAAGGTGGGGTCGTTCTCGACCACGCGGTTGAAATGCTTGTTGACAAGCGCTTGGTCTCGTATTAAGATACGCCAGCCTCGGCTCACGGACTTGGATTGAACTAAGCTTGGGGTTGGAAGCCTTGATAGTATATCAAGGACAAGCTCTTGAGGAAGACGATCCATCTCACTAATTGGTTGTTTTCCTATACTTTCTTCCTCCTCAAGTATTGTGTGATATAGTTGTATTATTGAAATAAGGCTTGGCGATGGAAACGGAATTGAAATTGAATAGAATATTATGCCTCGACAATGACAAAGTCCATTTTAATAAAAAAAAGAAAGAAAGAAAGAAAAGGGCATATGATTTGGTACTAAATAATTTTAGACTCAATGCTATATATAAAGAAAATTATCTATGTTGTATATATGTTTTTTAGTTCATACTAAGTTTATTTATTTTGATGTTACGTGTCTTATTTAGAATTTATAATTTTAGGTTTTATGATTTGGAATTTAGAATTTAAGTTTAAGATTTTATTGATTATGTTTTATATTGTCTATTCTTCAGTTTTACTATCTGTGCATTGGGTGGGTATCAAATAATCCAGGATTAGAACATTGCAAATCTGCAAAGTATTTTTTTTTTAGTATCAGCATTTGAGCTCAATGTGCAAAGAAAGTATGTAGGTCTACAAAGAAGGAAAAACTATAGGTTTTGTTATAAGATGACTGATCATCTCATGGAAGAGCGCAAAATATAATGCCATTGTTACATCTACTTTAAGTTAAATTTGTGCTCTGTTTTGAAGTCAATGATCATGGTTTTATGGTTGTATAACTTTATTTCAGTTCTTGGAGTTGTTGATAATATTATCAAGGCGCTGAAAAGTTATTGTGATAATCTGGTAGCAATCTTCTCTGAAAAATGAAAAGTATTCAAACTGTGCTAAACATATAGCCCTGAAATACTTTTTCATAATTTACCTCCGTGGTTAAAAAATCATTATTGTTTCTAGAAGTTATAAGTTCGAACACCAACGGTTACAGGGTGATTGAGCTCATTAACATCAACCTTATGGATGCAGATCCATTAACAAAAATATAGATGATATTTAATGAACATGTCGAAAATTTTCAGTGGATAACATCCATCTCTTTTATCACTGAGGTAATTTGATTAGTGCCAAATATATTATTGTTAGACCGTACATTAACTATTACACGTTATTGTTTTTTCCCCCACCCATATTGAGTGTGCATAATTTAATTAAAACTGAGAATTTGAAAGGGAAAAAAAAGCAGCTTTACGTATCAATCCAATTGAGGCTTGAAACATGAACCATTTCTCCAAAATACCTGGGAATCCCTTCAAATGTAACTTGAAGATCATTGAATGTCCTGCAAAGAGGATCGTAGAGAACAAGTGATTTATTTTCGTATTCCAATAAGATCCTTCCAGTACTACTGCACAGGCACAAGACTCGCATGTACATTTTAGGAATTATTCAACCATTCACGCCGATCATTCGGCTGCAACATGTTCGGTACGTAAGCTCCGATGCTAAATTCTTTCACCCAAGATTCCTTCACACCATACTCCTCCATTACCCAAATCTCCAGTTCTTTACTATAGTTATCGAAAGAAACCGCCGACAACAACCTCGTAGAACGACTAGTTCATGAAAATGTCTGTCGGAACGGATAGAATCCGGCCAAGGGACCTCCTTGAACTGTTCAGTAGCCAAGTCGAAGGACATAAAAGGCCTAGAAGCATTGTTTCTTGGCGTGTAAGTAATCCAGTGAAGTTTCCCTTTGACCAAAACCTGTGATTGTTGCCACATGATTTGGAATGGAAAAGTACCAAATTTCTCCATGTGCAGCTACCAACACTCAAAAGATGAACCTCTGATTCAATCAAAGATGTTGCGGTCCGACGATGTTGCAAAGCTCAACCCATGCCAGGTCTAACACCATGGCCTGGAAAACCTCCATAAGGTATTTCTAGTTCATGTGATAGCTCAACGACGTTGTGTTGCTTTGTGGTAGTATCGAAACCAAATCCCAAATATCTCATATGGTGAGCAGGCTGCTTTCTTATCAGCTTTGGCAACTCAATGTAGTCCCTTTAAAAGGATTATAGATACCGATCAGGCCAAAGCCTGGGTGAGTTGCACGCAAGAATAGCAATCCATTACATGAACTCACCAAATGGAAGTTCAGCAGAGGTGGCATGGGAAGCTTCTTTGTGATCATCGTCACGTTCCCGTTGTCTCGATCGGTCGAGAAATCACCGAATAAAGATTGTTTTGGATGGCTTGATCGTTGATTTATAAAATGAAGGTCGGATTGTTGTTGGCCATGAGCTTGAAATGCTTGTTGACAAGCACTTGGTCTCGTGTTATGATACGCCAAGCTCGACACACTCACCGGGATTGCACTAAGCTTGGGATTGGAAGCTTTGACAGTATGTCAAGGACAAGCTCTCGAGGAAGACGATCCATTGAGCTATTTGTTTTCTTCCATATAAGTTTTCCATCGTGGAGAGATTTGATAGAAGATACGGCTGTATTGTTCGAGATGGCTTGGCTATTAAATCGAAATTGAAATTCAATAGAATAATACATATTGACATTTCACAATGACCAATTCGGTCGCAATAGCAAAAAAACAAAAACTAGAGGCTAAGTATATAGTTTTACACACGGCACCGCTTAATTCTTTTTTCATCTGAGTTGTCAGTTGATATACATTACTTTGGACATGGATAATAGGAATAGTACTTCATCTTTTTAGAAAATTATCTGTATATATTTTTTAAAATTCTAGAAACTAATAGTACTAATAATAAATTCAATTTAATCTTAAAAGGCATTATCTTGAATAGGCTACCTTATTCCAAGCCCAAATGCATTCTGTTTTGTTAAAGTCTTGCGAAAAAAATGTAGTTAGGGTTGCTTATTCTAAGCTGGGGTAATTCTATTTTTTTCTTTTAATATTAGGTTTAGATTTTCTTTCATTTTATATAGCTATTTTGAAACAAGCGATTGACAAACTATAAGAAAGAAATTGATAATTAAGTGACCATCGAATCTATTATGAACATTTATTTTGATTTAACTTTTATATTTTGGGTGAGATTTGGGTCACTCTCGCACCCGACCAGTCTATTCCCCTAGTGTAATGGATGAATTTAGGTTACATGAGCGTTAAAGTTGTATCCGTCTAACGTATTTTCAGTGTTTCTACACGACTCATAAGATATCCGGATAACCTAACACATATATATCTATCAACACAATAAGCGATCGTTATTCACAAGTGATTTAAGGCATTTTTATCGTTTCTCGAATGTCCAACAAAGACATAAGTCTTCTAGAATCTTACCTCGTAAAATTCTTATGATTATAAAAAGTATAACATTATCATCTCATTATTATTATCGATTCTTCATTATCAAGTTCTCGCTTTGAAACTAAGTGTCCCATTATTCATCATTAACTAGTCTATTATTAGTCATTCTGATTATTATTCAAGTATTGTCATTCTTCTTGTTGTTAATCATTTACAAAGTTTCTGGGCTCCTGACTCGCTTCGTTTTACTACATGATCAGATATCGTAAAATTGCATGATTAGAGAAAACAACAATTTTAATGTGCCAAGCAAATAAGATCTAAAATTTTCTAAAGCAAAAATTATAGCTAATAATTTTTTTTGGTCGTAGAATAATTCTTCTATGCTGAATCCAAAGTCCGAGACGCGTAGGCGCTGACATGCAACACTTTATCAACTTTTTGACTGAGGACTGCGCCAACGCTTGTATCCGATGCATCACACATAAGCTTGAAGGGGTAGTCCCAATTTGACGGTTGTACAATTGGAGCTGATAGAAGCTTTTCTTTCAAGATGTTGAATGACTCTTTACATTCCGGATTAAAATCGAAAGCTTGATCCTTCTGGGGTAGATTGCACAAAGGTTGCTATATCTTCGAAAAATCTTTGATGAACCTGCGGTAGAATCCTACATGACCGAGAAATGAATTGTAACATCCTTATCCCATATACAGTCTCATATATGAGATAAAAGTGTCACATATAAAATATATACTGTTCAAAAATCAGTAAATTTTCGTTTCATTTAAAATCGACAATAAAATAAATAATTGCATTTAAAAAAACATAATATAAAATAATTAAAATACTTTTCATTTATCATATTATTAAAAAGAGTTCAAACATATTCAAATCTGAGCACAAAATAAAAATATACATGTCAACTATGAATATAAAAAATATCGAAAAGATATCATACTGATTCTGGTTGTCTGAAATGGTCTCTCAAAATGTAGGATGTCATGTTTGGCTCTCTACTCTGCTGACTTCACTTTCCATACTTGTGAACCAATCACACGTTAATTATTCCACTTAGTGAGGCGACATAAAAAAATAAAGAAAAGGTTTAACGAATATAATTAACCATATCAATAAAATTTTACTAAAATAAAATATATACAATTTACATCAAGAAGATATTTTATTTAAAACTGCTTTATAAGATTTTCATAAATTATTAATACTAAATTTATTTTCGGACATATACTTTTCCATTTCAAAGCAGATCATTTCCATATTTTATTCAGATCAGATCATTACTTTGCCCACTGTATTATCATGAGAATACGATGTACGTGAATCAAATAACTAGTGAGCACGCTATATACATATTTACTGTTAGAATAAACTGCACCGAGTCAGTCCACCTCGTGTACCACTAAGGCACCTAAGTCAGACCTCGAGTGACCCATCTTAGTGCCATATAATGCACATATAAAGCTAGTCAGATACACCGAATCACTCCACCTCGTGCACCACTAAGGTATGCCGAGTCAAACCACGAGTGATTCACACTGGTGTCTTATCATAAACATATTCAGATTCACTCCACCTCATGGCTGCGATTGTGCCACTAACCATCATTTTCACACAATGGACTTTGTTCTAAATCAATTACTAATTTGCATACAAAAACAATTCAAATAATTTAATATAAAACCATTTTTATAAAAATAAAAACTTTCGTCGGTTCATACCCAAAATAATCATACGCTATAAAATAAAACAACATGATAAAATCTATGTTCAAGTAATAATTTAAAACTCTTTTAAAAAAGATTAAGGTTGACGC